AGGGACTCTGGACCAACAGCTAGGGAGCCTGAATGAGACTGACCTAGACCCTCTACATGTGTGTGATAGTTTTGTAACTTGGACTGTTTGTGAGGCTCCTAGCAGTGGGATCAGGACCTGTCCCTGGCACTTGAGCTGACTTTTGTGAACCTATTCCCCCTGTTGGGTTGCTTCACTCAGCCTTGATGCAGGGGGGGAGGAGCTTGGCCCTGTCTCAACTTGATGTGTCTTGCTTTGTTGATGCTCATGGATGCCTGACTCTTTCTTAGTGGAGAAGAGGAGTCAATGGGGAAGGGTAGCTGTGGTGTGTGGGGGTGGGGAATGGGGAAGAGAGGAAAGGGGAAGAGAGGAAAGGCAGGAGGGGAAACTGTGGTTGGGATGTCAAATAAATGAAAACAAATAATTAATAAAATAAATGAAAATGGCAAAAATATCTTTCAAAGTGTTCAACTTCCTTAGCAAATGGGAAAATGAAAACACTTTGAAATTTCATTTATCCTCAATCAGAATGGCTAAGAAACAAAACAAAACAAATAAGCAAACAAAAAACAGAAACAAAATAAACCAAACCAAAAAACCCAAAAACCATGCTGGTGAGGATATGGGGAAAGGGAGTTTTCATTTACTGATGGCTAGGATTGCACTCTGGTGGGGTCCTTGTAGAAATCAATGTAGAGAGTTCTCCAAAAGCTAAAAGGAAATCTATCCTATAACCCAGTTATATCATTTTTATTTGCCATATGCTCAAAGACCTTGACATCAAATCCACAGAAACTTTTTCAGTATTGTTTTTCTGTTCTATTCACAATATCTAGGGAATTCAAACAACCTAAATGTCTTGAAACTGATGAATAGATAATGAAAAGGGGGTTCAAATGTACAATGGAAGTCTATTCAAATTTCGAGAAAAATGAATTCATGAAATTTGTCTGTAAAAGGTGGATCTAGAAAATGTTCTACTGAGGGATGCAACCCATACTCAGAAAGGCAAACACTGGCAGTTTTCTTTTATTTGTGGATGCTATTTCAGAATCTTTAGATGTGAGCAACCTGAGTTAACCTGGAGTTAACCAGAGAGAGATACCAGGAGAGTAAAAAGGGAGCATGGAAGAGAGGGGAAGAGAATCATCCCTAAACACAAACAAATACAAGCAACACTAAATTAATTTCACAAGTTATATATAATAATAATAGCTAAAGAAGAGGTCATGGATTTGAGAAGGAGTTGGGGGGAACAGGAGAAGTTTGAGGGGGAAGGGAGGGACTCAAAATGATATAAATATAATATTCATACATGAAATTCTAAAATAAATAATGACCAAAAAATGGAACCCAGCTACCAAATCTGAGACATACTTTGCTCCTGCCAATTGACATTTAGGAGGCAATCTAGGACAGTCATTACTAAACTGTAAGGAACATGTGAATTAATATGAATATAAATTTAGTAGGATTGAGTTTGAGCTTATTAACACTCACATATTCAATATGATATTCAGCTGTGACACCTCATTAGATTTGATGTATTTCATGGACTTTTGTTGATCCAAAGTTAGAGAACTACAATCTCGCCAGTAGTAATTTATTTTAGTTTTGTCTTTAGAGCACAGCTGACACTTGATGAAATAGAAATTCAAAGACCCCAGCTAGACATTGTGAATTTGAATGCCTAGGTGAAGGTTATACCTAGTGTTTTAACAGCTCCCATGTGAAGCAAATGCCCATTAAATTTGAGGAACAATTGGTAGTGCTAGAGAAATATTACAATTAGGGAGAACTGCTGGAGAGAAAAGCAAATATCCAATAGGGAAGAAAAGACTGAGTTCTGTACCTATAAGTAAAATTACACTGCTTGATCAATAGGAGGCAAGCTTCTGATTAAAGGGAAATACCCAATAGCAGGTAGAGGAAGGAGTTAAACAGTGTACATGCAAGTGGAAGTTAAGGAGGAATAGACAAGAGATTGCAGGCCAGGTGTTGGTGCCGCACGCCTTTAATCCCAGCACTCGGGAAACAGAGCCAGGCAGATCCCTGTGAGTTCAGCCTAGTCTACAGTGCGAGATCAAAGACAGGTACCAAAACTACACAGAGAAAACCCTGTCTTGAAAAACCAAAAAAAAAAAAAAAAAGGAGGGAGAGATTGTAATAATTCTATTTATGCAAGGCAAAGTGTCTTATGTATCTAGTGAGGAGGCCAGAAAAACCTTGGAATCAATTCTATAGAAGGAATATGTTACAAGTTTTATTTTATTTTACAATTAGGTAGAGTAGGGCTAGTCTGAGGAGTGGGGAGTAACATTTCATAGATGTAATACAGTGAACTGGAAGATAATGGGATGGTAAGAAGCAGATCCTACCTGGGAGGCAGAAAAAGGAGGTCTCACAGGATCCTGAGGTGTGGATCTAGATGGAGGGTCAGGGCAAGCAAGTGTCTAAAGAGCTAAGGAGGTGTTTGGGGTGGGAATGAGCAGACTAGCTGTCTGTCTGATTAGGGAAGTCTCTAAACGGCTTGATGAGCTTATTGAATAGGAAGCAGCAGGCCTACCTGGTGGTGATGGGAAATCGAAACTTAAAGGAGCAGAGCCGATAAATGAGAATTTGGTCTTCAGATGACTACTCTCATATGCTAAGATTAAAAATCAATACAAGTATACAAATATAGACACCGTGCAAAATATCATTCTTATTCCTTGGTAAGGATGTCTATACATGGAAAAAGAGAAGGTATTACATAAAATGTTAAATTTCTGGGCTGAGGTATATATCATGGTATATAACTCTTGCCTCCTATGAAAAAAATGTTTGGTTTAAATATCATAATCACAAACGACAAGAAAATTAATTTCTTTATAAAAATTCTCTGCTTAATACAACTTTAGTCAGATTTCCCACTTTTGATTAGGACTGTCTCAGCAGTTTTCAATTTTTGCAAAGACCCTGCTATCTAAATTAACAAGAGTATCCCATAGTAGATATGGAATAATGTTTTTCATCTGCCACCCCCAATCCATGGTATCTTGTCACACTGAATTAACTTCAGCCAGAATTCCTAGTAATGCTCAATAATCATCAATCTTCTGGCCTCCCTAACTTTTCCTGGATCATAATTTCATACTTTTCCATGTTTTACTTTGTGTTAAGCCAATCTCTCTCTCCACATGAAGACTCTGTTTTAGTAGTCTCTTTATATACATTAAGGGTTAGTTTTGCAGTGCTTTAATATTATTGCTGAATACATTTCAAATATTACACATAGATACACACACACAAACACATCAGAATACTTATATGTTATGCAAAATTCATGTGATCCTTTAGGAGAACGTGTGTGTCATTGCAGAAAATAGGTAACCAAGAGCCCTTTTCTTTGGCCTCTGTCATAACAGCTATGGTTATAGAAATATATCGTAGTTAATTGAACGCAAATTGTGGTTAAAATGAATCTCACTGAAACAGAAAGGAATACACTGTGCCGTTAAAAGTATCAAGAACTATTTCAAGAAATTTTGACAAAGGTATTAAAACAACACAAAAATATATTGAAAATGGCATATAAATTGACAACTTCTGTAATCATAGCATAATTACAGAAGTATTTTCATTTGTCATATAAACAAAAGCTTTGTCAAGACATTTGTAATGTCAGATACAAATGAAATAATTAAAAGCCTAAATAGAGAAGGTCGATATTTTATTATTTGTATTTATTTTAGTGTTTTGAGACAAGGTCTTGTTAGCCTGGAACTTAATCATCTGTAAACAAGCCTGGGCTGAAAATCATAGACATCTACCTACCTCTGCTTCTCAAGTACTGGGATTAAAGGCATGCTCCACCTGGCACAGCTATGTAAGACAGAGACTCAGTAGCTGGCTCTGACCTCCAGATACTCTTAACTTCACTTCCCAGAAGCGTGATAATAGGTGTGGGCCCCAATTGCCCGACTTTAGATATTTTCAAATTTGAATTCCATATGTGAACATTCTAGCAATGGTAGATATAAATCCATGTATTAAAACAGTAATACTGACTAGCAAGGTGGTGCATACAGGTGATACCAAAACAGAGTGTTGGGTATGGCAGGACTATTGCGTATGAGGCTAGCCTAAGCTACAGTGTGAGACCCGGTTTCAAAGCACTGAACAAAAAATAAACAAGCAAACCACTTCCTCCCCCCAAAAAAAACTAAGAAAAAAAATTTTAAAAGTTGAAAATAAGTATAAAATATAGAAAATGTAACAAGTCCATTTCCAATGACCACAGAAACGAAAACCAAAATAGGATGTAGCCTGCCTTAGCCAGCACTTCAGAGCAGAGACAATTATGGCCCTTAAGGCTCAACTTTTCTGCAAGATTGGTTCCTTGCCTACACATTACAAGAAATGGGGAAACTAGCTATGCACTGAATGATGATGAATTTCTGGGTTGTTGCTCAGCAAAAGTGACACAAACACTCTAAGGTTGATTCTTTGTAATAAATTTACTTCTGTTGAAGGGTGTTCTGCAAATTTAAGCAGGTATTCCCAACAGATTACCCTGGATTTTTTATTCCTAACATGAAGGGGTTCTGGGTTGTCAAAGCTTGGTCTCACATTCATTTTGTTTCTTTTTTTGTTGTTGTTGATGTATTGTTTTTTTTTTCCAGACAGGGATGTAGCTCTGGCTGTCCTAGAACTAACTCTGTAGACCAGGTGGCCTTGAATTCACAGAGATCCACTTGCTCTGTCGCCCTAAGTGCTGGGATTAAAGACTTGTACCACCAAAGTCCAGTGAGGCCTCACTTCTTAAGGCCCAGAGTACATGTAGAACATAGACTGTTGTTTTCTGCAGGAATAATGGTTTTCAAAATGGGCTCTGATTGGGAAGTGGGTGCTGCAGAGTCTGATGTTCAATGACTGACACTCTTACAATGGACTGTTAAAGAAGCTCAGTTAAGTGCTTGACTAGTATTTTCCTGGCTCCATTCCCAGTACATTATAATACAGAGCATGGAGGTGCACACCTGTAATAACAGCATCCAGGACATGGAGGAAGGAGGATCAGAAAATCCAGATTATTCTCCACTGCTGCAAGCCGCAGTAATAGGAAGTAGGATTTCAGCTGATATGACAAGCTAATACCTGGAAGAAATTCAGGGCCTTTCAGAGGTCAAGGTGAGGCTCAAGGAGTCTTGGTGATATTGGCCTTTGCTTATTACCATTTCCTACCATGAATTTCTTGTGTGCTATTGTAGCTTTTCCATCATTCAAAGGGCACTATTTCCCCTCTACTAATGGAATATTTAGATAACTTCCTGAGCAGTAATGCAGCAAGGATCCCTAATTTCAGGCCTCTGTCATTATCATAATTAGTGGGACCTGGCCAGGACCATCCCCAGGTGGATAAAGTGTCTTATCAGAGATACCTCTGTACACTCTAAGAACAGACTTAAGAATCCAGACTATCTGTTTGAGAAGGCCTGGCAGATGTGCTAATTGAACTTACCTTTCCCCTTTCCAAAGTCTTATCTCTAGTTTTAGATCCAATTTTAACTATTAAGTCAGAACCTAATTACTACTTACAGGTACATCAAGCTGACTCAGGAAACCCAGTCACCCAATGCACTCCCTTGCCCTGCCAGAAAACTGGAGTCATCAAGATAGCTTGGACAGATAAGGGGCCAAAGAAAAATAAAGCAGCTTTATTTCCACCTGTCACTGATAGACTCCTAACACTTTAACTACCCACTTCTAAGAATATAGTTGAGCACATAAAATCCTCCTTGCTCAGAAATTAACCAAATTTAGCCCTCAGTTGATTTTATTCCCCAATGGTCAATTCCCTTTTGAGCTGCAGATAATGGCTGACAATTACTGCTTTTTGGTTTGATTTTATTACCCTTCCTTTTGACCCTGAGGTAATTCAAGCCTGGTGACCTTGCTTTAACCAGAGCATTGCTATTTCATGGGTAAATAACTGTAAACCTCAAAGACTTGGGAGGGTGAGACAGAGAAGAAAAGAGAATCAAAGAACTAGATGGGTAAGAAATGGAGAAGAACAAACTGAGACATAAAGAAGAACTAGATAAAGGGCTAGAAGAGAGTACCAGAGGAACAAGATGGAAGATGAGGAAGATGGGTAAGAACAAGATGAGGAAGAACAAGATGAGAATGAAGGAGATGGGAGAGGAGCTAATATGGGAAAGAACTAGATAGATGAGAACCTAGATGGGCAGAACTAAGGTGAGAAAATTAAGATAGAACTTAGAGGGAAGGCAGATACATATAGAGAGAAACCAGGCCAAAAAGGAGCTAGACATGAGAACAGAACTGAAACTGTGTAGATAGAATTTTATCATACAGGAATAAAGTAAACAGACAAAAGAGATTGGTGTACTTAGATCCTTTTCCCAAAAATAATTCACTCTGTTTGTAGCTTCTCTTCTGGGCATCTGGAAAAAAAGATTATTAAGGCAAGACCGTACAATTTTCAAGACTCCAGCACATAGCAATCTGGTGTCTAACTTGGGATACATGAAATCTTCTTTCAAAAAAAAGATAAAACATAAACAGCAAATATATGGCTATATATTACTGGGCATATGAGCAACACTATCAGTAAATATTACTATCTGGAAGATTACAATATATATTTATAGATTCATAAAAGGAAAACTCCAAGTTATAAAACATGATAATACCATTTCTACAAATCAAGATCTGTCACTCAAAAGTATTTGTGCCTTTCACCAATTTAAAGACATGCACATACACACATATGCATTTTTGATATATATCAGAAACAGATAAATACTGAAACATTATATGATCTCACTTTTCTGGGGGGAGGCATAAAACTGAATTCTATGGAAGAAGAAGTTGAATGCTGGTCACCAGTGTTGGGGCATGGCTCAGGGAAATGTTGGGTTAGGGCTCTATAATTAGGATGCTTTGGAGCAGTTTTGAGGTGACTCTAGTTGTGAGTGGTTTTCCAGAACTTAGAAAACAAGCTCCCATGGAAATTTTTTTGGGGAAATAGGAAGGCTGCAATGATGACTGTGGGGTATTACTGTCAGACTGCTTGATGGCCGAATCCTGCTCCTGAATACAAAGATGTCAAAAAAAAAAAAAAAAAAAAAAAAACCTCCTGCCTCTTGGATCGTCCTTGTAAATGGTCTTGTATTTGAAAGTTCAGCAAGTAAACTAAGAACTAAGCAGTGGTGTGGGAACAACATGGCAGACTCCATGGTGAGCAGTCTACCTGCCTATTGAAGTAGGGTAACAGTTGAATGAAAGTTATTAATGACAAAGGATAAATTAAAGGTAGAATTACAGATTAGTTTCAATAGCACTATCTTAATTACTGACAAGTGTCAATGCAAAACCCATAGCTCTCTTCATAAACAGAGTAAAGGTAGTTTATTCTGGATCCATTCTGAGTGACCATGCCTTACAAACATAGATTTAGGTTACCTCACATTCCATTTTCAAACATGGAAGCAGTTTCAAGAATTTTTTTATATAGATTTTATACAGAACAAGTTCATAAATCAAGACAAATTTAAAATATATTGGGAAGTATATCAGAGAGACAGATACATCAAAATGGGGGAAGCTTTTCTGTTGGTCTAAGGCACTATCTGATGACATTATTCATTTCGGGGTTGGTAGAAGCTAGTTGACTACTAACGTAACAGACTCTAAAAGGTTTCTTGTTTTATTTTGTTTTTAATTTGTTAGTGACAATCTGTTAGTTTTAACACAACTTGGTCAAGAAATGCCTGTTCTGGAGTCCTGGCATTAGCCCAAGATAAGGTAACTAGTCTCCAGACTGGCAATATTTCACTGTCTCCACAGTACTGAAATTGTAATGTGTCAACAAATCTATGCACACAGGGCTTCTTTTCAAAAGCTTTCATTTGCACAGTGAAGGTAAAGTGAAAGGAGACTTGGCTAAATATACTATGCTGAATTTTATGGAGGCAAAACACACAATGTCTCTGTTTTTGCCATTTTCAATTCGCCTGATCTAGATGTTATAAATTAGGTTAATGATGACTGTTTTTGTAGCTTAGTGGTAGAATTTTTTAACCGACCCCATGCAAAACACTGGGTATAATTCCTAGCAATGTGTGGAGGGAGTCCAAGGAGTCCACAAAAGTGAGATATTAAAAGATTCATAGATGACCAGACAGGAACACCTAAGCCTTCACCCTTTCACATAAATTCAAATAAAACCCACAAGGAAGTCATGCTAGGAGATTCACCCTGTGCAAACAAATTATGTCTCATGTGAATGGATTCTCAGTGTGTTGCCTAATATGGTCAGCTTTAGGCAGAATACAAAAACGTACTTACCTCTTGTCCAGAAAGACTCTAGGGCAGAATGACCATATACGAAGATGAAGTCAAAAGGTCAGTTGTGTCGCAACAGCCTTTCCATGAGGCAATTTCCTGCATAGCTTTTACTATAGGTAATTATTCACTCCACAGAGAGGATCATCCTAGTCCTGTAAAGATTCTGAATGTCAGAGGTTGTTCTTGAATGCTGTACCTCAAAAAACAAGAGATTAAAATGTTTTATGAATTGGTAATGGGGTTGGCCACCTAGACAGCCACTTCTAGGGCCCCAAATAATACTTTTATGCTAGTGTGTGCATAAACTCCTTAAGGACTGCTCTACTAGGCTCTTCATTTCTTTTCTTGACTGTGTATCCTTCATATGACATGGACTAGGCCTTGACAAAGATAGGGTTGAGACCTCTGATCTTTGCAGTTAAGATGAAGCATGAAGACAAAACAAGGAAACCAAGAAAGACAAGGAAAGAGGAAAACAAGAGGTATAGAAAAAGAGAATGATGAAGAGTCAAATGTGAAAAATATACATAATACCCTAATATATTTTCTGTAATTTCTAGGAAGCCATAAATTGGAGCATCAGCATAGTATTAGGATTACCTCTAAGTAGTCAACACTCTATAAGGGAAATCGCAGAAAAAAGATGATGAACACTGCAGCTTAAGGTTCTCCTCAGTGTGGGGTCCTGTGAAGAAAGGAAATAAGCATCAAAACAAATAGAGTTTGGCTGTGGAGGATACAGGGGAGGATACTAAATGCATTGTAATACAGGACAATATTCAGCATCTTGACAATGTATTTTAAACCTGTGGAAACAGAAGAACCAGTCAAAAGCAACAGAACTAGATGGAAATAAATGATAAAATATCAGAGCAAAAAATCAAGAGAAGGGAAATGAAAAATATAAAATAATAAATAAAGTAATCCCAATCACAATAACTAAGTCAATGGTTCCCAACCTTCCTATTGCTATGAACCTTTAATACACTTCCTCATATTGTGGTGACCCCCAACTATAAAATTATTTTTGTTGCTACTTTATATCTGCAATTTTGCTACGGTTATCAATCATAATATAAGTACCTGTGTTTTCTGACAGTGTTAGTTGACCCCTGTGAAAGGATTGTTGATGCCCAAAGTGGTTGTCAACAAAGGGTTGAGAAACACTCTCTTAAATTAAATTAGAATAAACATAACTAAGAAGGTGAAGCACCTCTGTTATGAGAAACTTAAAATCCTGAAGAATGAAATTGATGGAAAGATCCTCGTGTTCATGCATCAGAGTAACTAATATTGTAAAAAGAGTTAAACCACAAAAAAGATAATCTATAGATTTAGTGCAATTCCCATCAAAATTTTAATGACATTCTGCACAGAAGTAGAAAATAAATCCTGTAATTCCTACAGGAGCACAAAATATCCTAGACAACCAGAGCAATTCTGAGCACAAAGAACAGTGCTATAAATGTCCTCATACTAGATCTCAAGTTATACTACAGATGTATTAAAAAGGGTGAGATCTTGGGGCTGGCATGAAGAGGAAAAGAAGGGGAAACTGTGGTAGGTATGTAAAATTTAAAAATAAATAAATAAGTACACAGCATTATGCTGACCGCAAAACAGAAACAGCCCTCAGGATTCAGAGACCTCAAATTCCTGAGTTGAGGCCAGCCTGATCAACAGAGCAAGTTCCAGGATAGACAGAGGGACATAGAGAAGCCCTGTCTCAAAAAACAAAACAAAACAAAAAGACCCAATGTCCAATATAACAGTATAAGGGACTTGAGTATAATTCCTTTATCCTCAGTGCCTTGATTTTGAGAGGGATGACAAAAATAGACACTGAAGAAAAGACCCTAAGGACAACAATGTTTAGAAATTGAAACTATCTCTGTCTCTGTAAAAAAATCAACTTCAAATAAATCAAGGAGTTTTGCAATGGAATACCCAAAGCACTGTTAACGCAACTGTTAGAAGAAAAATAGAGTAAAGTAAGTACCTCATGTCTCTGGAGCAGGACAAAGATTATCTGAAGAAGCCTCCCCTAACTCAACTAATAATGCCAAGAATTTCCAAATGAGATTAGGTAAAATTACAAATGTTTTCCACAGCAAAGAAAACCACTGAGTAAAGAGACAATCCACAGAATGAGAGTAATTTTTTGCTAAGCAAACATCTGATAATAGAATAATATCTATAATATGTAAAGAATTTTTTAAGCATACTGGATGTGGGATTTATTACTGAACATGATTTGTTTGGGTCCAAGAGAGCACTGTGGAAGCCCTCAGGAGTGAAGGGCTCGCCATTTGTTCAAGGGACCATGGCTGGGGATGTATTTGACCCCACAGCCATCAGGAATGAGCCACTTCTCAGCAACCTTGTCTTCAAATCCATCTGCATTAAACTTGGTGAAGCCCCATTTGTTTGTGATGTGGATCTGCTGGCAGCCAGGGAACTTGAATTTGAGTCTACAAAGAGCCTCATTCACATTTTCCTTATTCTGCAGCTTGCTGCAGATGGATATGATGACCTGGCTAAGGTGAACCCTGGCCACTGTGACCTGGGGCTTCCCAAAGGCACCATGCATACCTGTCTGGAGCTTGTCAGTCCCAGCACAGGACAATATCTTGTTGATTTGGATGACATGGAAAGGGTGGAGTCCCACTGGAATATGAAAGCCATCCTTGCCACCACTCTTTCCCATGTGTTTGTTGGCACAAATACTGACATCCCCCAGAGTTTCAGAAGAGAGTTACTCATTATCTGACACCATGTGGTCCCAAAGTGGGAATTCATCAATTTTTGCCTTCTTCAGTCCTGAGTCAAAGAAGCAGATTTTAGGGACTGGGACACCTTGGCAGAAAGGAGTCTTTGGGGTCGGTTTGTTCTTACAATCCCCATGAGGACAGCATCATTGGTGGTGCTCTAGATCATCAGTGGTGTGCCGGGGGGAAAAGCATATGTAAAGATCTTAAAAATCCTAAATGTCAAGAAGTCAATGAACTAAATCAAGAAATGAGTTAATTTAATAAACAGACCCTTCTTAAAAGACAAAGAATAGTCTATATGCATGAGAAAAATGTTCAATCAAAATATCTCTTGAAGA